TCTTTCATAATAAGATGGCACTAGCGAATAATTCTCTTTAGACAAGTAAGTAGTGCTTTTTTTTTTGGTTCAACGGGCTGTCAAAAATACTAAAATAGTAGCCAAAACTATTACAAGTTTTTAACCTATTAAAGACTTAGAACCATTTAAGAAGGACGTTGTAAAGTAAAATGCTGTTAAAGATGAAAATGAAGATAGAATGGGACTGACTGGAAGACAACCGTTTCATAATTAGATAACACTACCGAAAAATTTCTTTTTAGACAAGTAGTGATTTGTTCTTCTTTCTTTTTTTTTTCTTTGGTTCAACAGGCAATCCAGATTATTTGTATGTTTCAACACTCAAATTTCCATTAACGAGGTACTATGTTGTGAATAAAAAAAAACATATTTATTGAGTCATTGTTTCTATTAGTATCTAAAAACTTATATGTATAGTTAAAATTGAATAAAAAGTTCAATAATTAACATCTAAACATCTGCCATGCAGGGCAAGGGTAAGTACTAGTTAAATTAAAAATCTATGCACGGCTACGAGCAACTGGTGGTTAAAAAAATAATATATACAAAAAAAGAGTTCAAAAGTTACATATAACTAGATCTAAAACAAAAAAATTAATAATTATTTTTTCTCTCTTCTGAACTCTCTCTCGGTGCACGTTAACACACTACGTATCATAGGCCATCCATGGCGAAAGGGAAATAGAATGGTACATAGGAAATTGATGAAAAATACAGCAATCGATTGCAGAATAGATTAGGAAGAAGAATCAATGAACGGTGTTGCCATTTGAATTAAGTAGAAAAAAGAGTTTGTGAATCAAGCGAGTTCATCTGGAACTGAAAAAATTTTGGAGGAGTAAGTGAATTCGATTAAGAATCAGCAGTGAGCAGAATTTGGAGAAGCGAACAAAGATGTTGACTGAATTATTGGGGGTCATAGCTGCTAGAAAGCTGGATTATGTTTTCCATTGTTTTTTTTTTGTTTAAAAGAAAATGCAAAACACTGCAAATTGAGAGGAGAAAAATAGTTGTAAGACTTTTTCGGTGTATTTTCTCATTCACATTTGGGCTCTATTTATAGGCTTATGATCACCTTAAGATAGAGACTACATTAACTCCATACTAACAAAGATTACACAGTTATGGAGATTTTGCTGTAAAAGAAAGATAAAACATTAAAACAACTTAATACAACATCCACCATTAATATACTTCATAACACTCCCCCTTGGATGTTGTTTACGGAATGATGTCTCGTTAAAACCTTTACTAAAAAAAACCCGTTCGGAAAAAATCTAAGTCAAGGAAAAAGAGTACACTATCCAAATGTGACACTGCCTCGTTAAAAACCTTGCTAGAAAAACCTAGTGGAATAAAAATCTTGGACAAGGAAAAGTCACTTCCTCTGTTGAGCACATCACTTGAGATCTTTGAGTCGCCGCATTCCAATCTTGTGAACTAGTTTCTCAAAAGTTGAATTCGGTAATGATTTAGTGAATAAGTCTACCAGGTTGTCACTTGAGCGAATTTTTTGAACAATGAGTTCACCACTCTTTTGAAGATCGTGAGTATAGAAGAATTTCAGAGATATAAACTTTGTTCTATCACCTTTGATGTATCCTTCTTTTAATTGATCAATGCATACAGTTATTGTTTTCAAAAAAGATAGTGGGGCCATTCTTGTCCAAATGCAAACCACATGATCCTCTAATATGATGAACAATTGATCTTAACCAGACACATTCTCGACTTGCTTCATGAATTGCTAAAATCTCAGTATGATTGGAAAAAGTGCCAGTTAGAGTTTGTTTCATAAAACGCCATGATATAGATGTTCCTCCACATGTAAACAGATATCCTGTTTGCGAACGAACATTATGAGGATCGGATAAATATCCAGCATCGACATAACCGATCAGATCCAACTTGGATGCCTTTGAATAATAAAGACCTATATCAATCGTACCATAAAGATACCGAAATATTTGTTTAATACCATTCCAATGCCTTCGCGTAGGTGCAGAACAATACCATGCTAACAAATTAATAGCAATGATATATCATGTCGTGTATGACTAGCGAGATACATTAATGCTCCAATAGCACTAAGATATGGTACTTCCAGACCAAGTAGTTCTTAGGTTTTCCCACGTGGTCGGAAAAGGTCTTTATCCTTATCAAGGGATCTTACAACCATAGGTGTGCTCAAAGGGTGTGATTTGTCCATATAAAAGCATTTAAGCACTTTTTCTATATACGTGGACTGATGTAGAAATATACCACTTTCTAAGTACTCAATTTGCAAATCCAAACAAAATTTTGTCTTTCTTAGATCTTTCCTTTCAAATTCTTGTTTCAAACAATTTGCATCTTTTCTGACCTCTTCAGGGATCCCAATAATATTTAAGTCATCAACCTAAACTGCAATAATTGCAAATTTTGATTCGGACCTTTTAATGAAAACACAAGGACAAATGAGATCATTCTTATAACCTTCCTTTATTAAATACTCGCCAAGGCGATTATACCACATTCTTCGTGCTTGTTTTAATCCATACAAGGATTTACATAATTTAATTGAATAAAGTTCTCGAGAATTGAGATCTTGTCCCTTAGGTAATTAAAATCCTTCTGGGATCTTCATATAGATATCATTATCTAGTGAGCCATATAAATAAAATTTCACAATATCCATAAGACGCATTTCAAGTTGTTCAATAGCTGCCGGATTGAATAAATATCTAAAAGTTGTTGCATCCACCACGGGAGAATACGTCTCCTCATAGTCAATACCCGGTTGATGTGAACATGTATGGTAATCAAGTACAAGATGATCAAGGTGTTCGTGTTCCAAGTACTGTCCAAGCTCAAGGAGTGGCTCAAGATCCATTATCCAACATTGGAGGCCCAATGACTCAAGCTAGAAGTAAAAGGATGAGGAGTGCACTTAATAGTCTTATATCAAATGGTTTATCCCAAGAGAATGTCAAGTCTGGAAGTTACAAGCCCAAGATTATTAATGTGTTACAAGGCCCATTTGAGGAAGGAAATTTCGGCCCACAAACCAAGTAAGGGAGGTCGGCCCTATCTCCTAAGTTTTAGGAGTTAGAATCTCTATCTTTTAGGGATAAAATTATTTAAATCTTATCACACTTGTGGAAGGATAAGATTTGGAAGATTCCCTATCTTTTAGAGATAAGATCATTTAAATCTTATCACATGGAAGGATAAGATTTGATATGATTCTCTTTTATCTAATTTAGAGTTTATTCAAAATAAGAAGTCTATTCCTTGGTATCTACTCTCAACCGTTGGATGGAGATTAGATCAAGATTGGATGGCTATGATTACTCTACAAAGAAGATATTGATAGAGTTGAAAACTCAGGAAGATTCTTTTCAAGATAAGGATAAGATTCTTTTGAGAGAATATCTCTTTGTATTTAGATTTTTATTTTCAATAGACTAGTGTGTCTTAAGTCTATAAAGGTGCCTAGATACATTGCCTTAATAGATAAGACACAAGTTGTCAATTAGAGGTTAAGTTGATTTCTAGTTCTTTAAAGTAGGAATAGAGTTAAAGATGAAACTCTTCTCCTACTTCATATGAGAATTTCGGCCCCCTCTACTATAAATAGGGGTGCTTGGCCAGCATTTCATTTGTACCTTTGATGAATTTGATATTTCAATATGAGACGAGAGGAAACTCTTTGTTCTTTTCTATTCTTTTCGAAGATTAGTGCATTGCACACAAGGTTGTGCTTTGTTGATGCATGTGAGTAGAATAGGTGTTTTTCTACTTGTGGAGCTTTGTTAGTTGTTCATTGAAGCTTTTTCGCTAGCCATTCTATCTATAAATCGAAGGGATAGGGTTGTTAGAGAGGTGACCGATTGGGTTGCTAACCTTAAACACATTCTACATCTTCTAAACCTTTCCATCCTTTTTTGGTGCAAACTTTTGTGGTTTGCATCTCTTCTTTCCTTTTATTTTTCGTGAGTTTGGAGTCCATAATATTGGATTTGCAAGTTTTCAAGTCCTGGGAAATTCATAGCTTCTGCGTCGAGGTAAATCTGTCACCTTTGCCTCATGATTCGTATCAATTGACCTCAGAGCCTTGGTTTTTGAAAACTTGCAAGTAGAGTCAAGTGCAATACTTTGTATCAACTGGCCTCAGAGCTTACGTTCTTGAAGACTTTTTTTTGTTTTGATCTACTAAAGCTCATCTTTGGTTAGATCTCGAATTGTTCTTTTGAATTTTTGAGTCTTTTATTATAGATCTCACTATTTTGCTTTGATTAAATTCTTGTTTGATTTGATTGAAGTTGTTATAGTTAGATCCATTATTAGTAAAAAAAAACGTTTTTATTCTCCTTAATTTTTGGATATAAGGTATCTTAATCCCTAATCCACGTTTTAAGTCAGAAAGAAAAAAAAAAAGGCGTGCAAAGATAAAAAGAAAGACAGCATAGAAGGAGGATTTGTATTTGAATTTGACTTGAAGTGCAACTACTATTATTGCACATATCTTTTTCGAAAATATTTGGATCTTTGGTGGCTAAGGTTTTTGCAAATATAGGCGCTTATTTGTGAAGTAGTCAAAACTAGGGTTTTATCCATAACCCTAAGTCGAAGCTTTTATTTTTCAGAATTTGCTCCAAGTTCTATTAGCCTATTTGTGAGATCTAAGTTTTCATAATTGTAACTACTCGATCTATATTCGTGTTCTTCCTTAGATCTTGTTACAATTATTTTTAGAACCTTACTTTTTGATCCTTTTTATTTGCTTCAATAAAGTACTTCTTGTAGCACTAGTCTTCATTGCACAAAGGATTAAAAGACAAAGAAAGTGGTAATAATAGAGTGAATCCATCCCTTACTAAATTCTAAACCTTCTTGAGAGATCTTGGGGAGTGAATAGAATAGTTGGGAGGGGTAACCAGGAAGTGAGTTCTTCGATATTATTTTTCTTGTGTGTGTTGAGTTGTGTTTCAGGAAACATGGGAGACAAAGCTCTACCTCATCCTCAACATGGAATGCTGAATGATATTGTGCAAAATTTTAAAGATAAGATTGCGGCATTAACCAATCAATTGCAACCTATGATGAAGGCAATGGCACAACAACGACGACAAGAAGAGACCACTCGCCAACAAGAAGAAACTGCTCGTCAAATAAACCAACGTGCCCAAGTTAGGGATCCATTGGTAAATCCTGGACCTAACCTTGTTGCACGTGGGAACATCCATGGCGGACGTGGCAATGCCGGGCGTGGTCAAGGAGGTGGACGTGGTAATGAGGGACAAGATGGTGACCGAGAAGAAGAAGGTCAAGGAGAGCAAGAAGAAATTCCAAGGGAACAAAATGATGATGATGGTATGGAGCATGAAGAAGAATTTAGGCATGATCGACAAAGGCAGCCTAGATTTGATGATGACATGAACACTATCAAGTAGAAGATTCTAGAATTTCGTGGCAAGCCAAATCCTGATGTGTATATTGATTGGGAAGATCATATCAATCGGATCTTTAATCTCAACAATTATTCTGAGGGAAAGAAGCTGAATTTAGCTGTGTTAGAATTTCATGGATATGCTTCTACATGGAATGAGGTACAACGTCGGAGAAGAAGAGACGATGATCCTGCAATCACCACTTGGGGAGAGCTTTCACATGTAATGCAAAAGCCTTTTATCCCAGCATCCTTTCAAAGGAAACATCGAGGTGAGTTGCAAGATCTAAAGCAAGGAAGTAGTTCGGTCATGGAATACTACCAAGACATGAATACTTTGAAGCTTAAATGTCAATTGGAAGAAGATGAGGAACAAAGTATAACAAGGTTTCTACATGGTTTGAACCTTCCCATTCGACCTAGAGTGGAGTTACAGTCTTATCATGATCTAGATGATTTGGTGGATAAGGCCGACATTATTGAGAGGCAAATGAAGGAATCTTCGGCCGCAAGCAGAGCAAGGACATCTTCCACTAGTACATCATCCTTTGGATCAAATAGGCGGGGGAGTACTCCTAAGAAGCATACGGCTCCAAGTTCTAGTCAACCTAAACAGTTGCTTAAATCGGCCAAGGTTACCAAGTCATTGGAGAAGACACCTAGTGTCAAACCGGGTTCATCTGCCAATGTACAGTGCTTCAAGTGTAAAGGAAGAGGACATTATGCATCTGATTGTCCCAATAAGAAGGTAATGGTACTTCGAGATGATTGGTACTATGAAAGTGAAGAAGAAGATGTGCACGATCAATCTAATATGGTTTTAGCAACAACCGAGCAAGCTACAACTAGTCAAATGTATGATAAGGGAGCTTCTAAGAGTGAATATGAGGTTGTCTATGAGGAAGACGTATCTCGAGCTATGGTACTAGCTCATTCTCTTAGTATCCAGCCAGCTCAAGACAACAATTTCGAGCAACGCACCAATATTTTCCATACAAGGTGTAAGGTGAATAATAAGACGTGTCTTGTGATTGTGGATGGAGGAAGTTGAACAAACTGTGTGAGCATGGAACTTGTCAAGAAACTGAACCTCCCTACGTCCAAGCATCCTCAGCCTTACAAGTTGCAATGGTTAGATGATCGTGGAGAAATTAAGGTACGGTCGCAAGCTCGCTTACTCTTATGTTTTAAAACGTTCCAGGACAAAGTTCTTTATGATGTGGTTCCAATGCAAGCATGTCATATATTGTTGGGTCGTCCATGGGAGTTTGATCGAGGTGCTAACAAAGATGGAAAGACAAATCAGTATTCAATTGTGCAGAAGGGTTTGTCTATTGTATTGTGTCCGTTATCTCCTACGAATATCATGGAATCTTAGAAAAAATTGCAAAGAGAGAGAGAGAGAGAGAGAAAAGACATAAAAGTGAGTTGAAAGAGTCAAAAGAGAGTTTGGGGAATGGGAGAGAATCAAAAGTGAGTGAGAGTTTGAGAGAAAAGCCAAAAGCTGGGGAGAGAAAAGGCAGCTTTTATGCTTCTATGGGAGACCTTGGGAGGGCTCTAAATACTCGCACTCCACTTGTTTTAATTGCTTACAAAGATTTATGTTAAACTAACACTAACCCCATTGAAAATATTCCTAGTGTTTTTAAATCTTTTTTGCAGGATTATTAGGATGTTTTTCCAGAAGAATTGCCAAAGGGACTTCCATCTTTGAGGGGAATTGAGCATCAAATTGATTTTATCCCTGAATCAGTAATTCCTAATCGTCCTGCATACAAGGCAAACCTCGAGGAGACCAAGGAACTGCAACGTCAAGTCGAGGAACTCCTTGACAAAGGTATGGTTCGTGAATCTTTAAGTCCTTGTGCAGTGCCTGTCATTTTAGTTCCTAAGAAAGATGGAACATGGCGTATGTGTGTAGATTGTCGTGCTGTGAATAAAATTACTATTAAATATAGACATCCCATACCTAGGCTAGATGACATGTTAGAAGATCTATGTGGCTCTTGCATATTTTCTAAAATAGATCTTGCTAGTGGCTACCATCAAATTCGCATGAAAGAGTGTAATGAATGGAAAACCGCCTTTAAAACTAAATTTGGTTTATATGAGTGGATGGTTATGCCTTTTGGTTTGACTAATGCTCCTTCTACTTTTATGCATCTTATGAACCATGTGCTTAGACCTTATAAGTAAATTTGTTGTGGTTTATTTTGATGATATCTTAGTGTATAGTAGAGATGAAGTTTCGCATGCTAAACATCTTTCGAGTGTGCTCTCTGCTTTACGTGAAAATAAACTTTATGCTAAACTTGCTAAGTGTACTTTCTGTGTACCAGAAGTTATTTTTCTTGGTTTTGTAGTTAGCAAGGATGGTGTTAAAGTTGACGAGACTAAGGTTAAGACAATTCGAGAATGGCCTACACCTAAGTCTGTCTCTGACATTCGTTCCTTCCATGGTTTAGCTAGTTATTATCGTAGGTTTGTGAAGGATTTCTCTACTAAAGATGCACCCTTAAATCACTTAGTAAAGAAGAATGTTAGGTTTGAATGGAGTGTAGAACAAGAACTTGCATTTAACACTTTAAAGAATGATTTAACTTGTGCTCCTGTTCTTGCATTACCTAATTTTGATCTTACTTTTAAAATTGAGTGTGATGTATCTGGGGTTGGAATTGGTGTTGTGTTAATGCAAAGTGGTAAGCCTATTGCGTACTTTTCGGAAAAATTAAGTGGTGCAACATTGAATTATCCTACTTATGATAAAGAATTGTATGCTGTAATTAGGGCTTTAGAAAATTGGCAACACTATTTGATGCCAAAAGAGTTTGTTATCCATAGTGATCATGAGTCTTTGAAATATTTGCATGGACAAAACAAACTGAATAAGAGACATGCTAAATGGAGTGCATTTCTTGAATCTTTTCCTTATGTCATTAAGTACAAGAAGGGAAAAGAGAATATCGTAGCTGATGCATTGTCTCGAAGATCGTATGTCCTTTCTATGCTTAATTCTAAGTTATTAGGGATTGAATACATCAAGGATTTGTATGCTACTGATTCTGATTTTTCATCCATTTTTAAAGCATGTGAAAGTGGCACACTTAACAAGTTTTATACGCATGAGCGTTTCTTGTTAAAAGATAATAAATTATGTGTGGCTGCTTGTTCTCTGCGTGAACTATTAGTGTGTGAATCTCATAGTGGGGGTCTTATGGGTCATTTTGGTATTTTGAAAACTTATGATGTTTTATGTGAGCATTTTTATTGGCCTAATATGAAACGTGACGTAGAAAAAGTTTGTTCTACTTGTATTGAGTGCAAACAAGCAAAGTCTAAGTCACAATCACATGGGTTATATACGCCTTTACCTGTACCTACCCTCCCTTGGACTGATATTTTAATGGACTTTGTTTTGGGATTATCTAAATCTCAAAAAGGGTGTGATTCAGTTTTTGTGGTAGTTGATAGGTTTTCTAAGATGGCACATTTTATTCCTTGTCATAAATCTGATGATGCCAAGCATGTAGCTGATTTATTTATGCGTGAAATTGTTAGATTTCATGGTTTACCTAGAACTATTGGGTCTGACAGAGATGTTAGATTTTTGAGCCTTTTTTGGAAAACTTTGTGGGAAAACTAGGTACAAAACTGTTATTTTCAACAACTGCTCATCCTCAAACAGATGGCCAGACGGAGATGGCCAGACTCTTGGTTCTTTGCTACGTGTTTTGATCCAAAAGAATCGTAAGAATTGGGAACCATGTTTGCCCATTGCTGAATTCGTATATAATAGTGTTGTGCATTCTACTACCCAACATTCTCCGTTTGAAATTGTTTATGGATTTAACCCCTTAACCCCTTTAGACTTGTCTCCATTGCCTGTTTCTGAGTATCTTAATGCAGATGGAGCCAAGAAAGTTGAGTATGTACGTTCTCTTTATGAGAAAGTACACATGAATATTTCGAAGAGAAATGAGCATGTTGCGCGGATTGCCAACAACGGCCGTAAGGAAATGATATTCAAACCTGGTGATTGGGTTCGGGTTCATTTATGGAAGATTCGATTTCCTACAAAGGTTAAATCGAAGTTAGATCCTCATGGAGCTGGTCCTTTCCAAGTTGTAAAGCATTTGAACAACAATGCTTATAAACTTGACCTTCCTGGTTAGTATAATGTTAGTGCGACTTTTAATGTTTCTTAATTATCTCTGTTTGATTTCTCAGATGCTGGAGCTATACAAGCTTTGGAATCGAGGTCGAATCCTTTCGAGGAAGGAGGGAATGATGTGAACATCTATGGTAATCAAGTCCAAGATGATCAAGGTGTTCAGGTTCCAAGTACTGTCCAAGCTCAAGGAGTGGCTCAAGATCCATTATCCAACATTGGAGGCACAATGACTCAAGCTAGAAGTAAAAGGATGAGGAGTGCACTTAATAATCTTATATCAAATGGTTTATCCCAAGAGAATGTCAAGTCTGGAAGTTACAAACCCAAGATTATTAATGTGTTACAAGTCCCATTTGAGGAAGGAAATTTCGGCCCACAAACCAAGTAAGGGAGGCCGGCCCTATCTCCTAATTTTTAGGAGTTGGAATCTCTATCTTTTAGGGATAAAATCATTTAAATCTTATCACACTTGTGGAAGGATAAGATTTGGAAGATTCCCTATCTTTTAGAGATAAGATCATCTAAATCTTATCACATGGAAGGATAAGATTTGATATGATTCTCTTTTATCTAATTTAGAGTTTATTCAAAATAAGAAGTCTATTCCTTGGTATCTACTCTCAACCGTTGGATGGAGATTAGATCAAGATTGGATGGCTATGATTACTCTACAAAGAAGATATTGATATAGTTAACAACTCAGGAAGATTCTTTTCAAGATAAGGATAAGATTCTTTTGAGAGAATATCTCTTTGTATTTGGAGTTTTATTTTCAATATGCTAGTGTGTATTGAGTCTATAAAGGTGCCTAGATACATTGCATTAATAGATAA